CATTGAAATAGTAAATGGTGTTATTTCATTTTTATTAGAAACATTCCAATGTCAAACTCAGCAAAAGAAAAGAAATAACTAAAATTAGGGCTGAATTAGATAAAATTGAAAACAAAAGAATTATTCAGAAGATGAATGCAACAAATGTTTGTTTTTGAAAAGTTTAATAGAATTTATAAGCCTTTTGCTAACCTAACCAGATACAGAAAAGTAAAATCCCTAATGTCAATCAGAAACTGTAAAGGAGAAATAACAACAGACACTTCAGAAATTCAAAAAATCCTCAATGATTACTACAGAAAACTCTATTCTCAGAAATATGAAAATCTGAAGGATATGGATCAATACTCAAAAGCACACCACCTTCCTAGACTATACCAGAAAGAAGTAGAAATTTTAAAAAGACCTCTATCAATCACTGAAATAACATCAAGTATACAAAATATCCCCCCCCCCAAAAAAAGTCTGGGACCAATTGTCTGCACATCAGAATTCTACCAATTAAATTATTTTGAAAATTTTTCTGTTCAATAATGATAATAATTAGTGTAAGTTAGATTTTGTTACACATGCAACTGTGTAGGGTGCTTTCTAACATTAATGACTTTATCCTTTAAAGTGCCTGGGAGTTAGCTTATTCTAGTATAGACACTGTCATTTCAACAGTGCTGTGATAATTCTTTTATCTGGCTTACAGTCATTCTTAAAACATAATTTTATAGTTTACATTTTAGGTAGATAATATATTATATATGTTTTTATTACAAATATATATTTAAAAATGTAGAAATATTGCTCCTACTGCATAACAAATCATCTTTAAATGTAAGGCCTTAACAGAACAATAATTATTTAAGTCTCATCTCTCACAGACTTGGAGTCAGCTGGGCTCCGCTGTGTGTTTCCTCTGCAGGGTCTCTAAGGAGGTGACTTTCTTGTGGAGGCTGAGGCTGTGATCATCTGGAAATCTCACTCAGCATCTAGAGATGGCACAAAAGACTCAAACAGTGGGATGGTTGGAAGAGCCAGCATGTCTCAGGCATACCTATTTGTCTCTCCCACATGTGGCCTTTTATTGCAGGAATTTCAGTTTCAGAACAGGGCTCTGGACTGAGTCCGCAAGGTGGGAGTTGTAGTGAGAGGGAAGAGACAGACAGAAAAGCTCAGAGGCAGATACAGAGGCAGAGAGAGGACGTGCTGTCATTTCTTGCAGAGCCTGGGAAGTTAAGCTGCATCACTTTCTCTCCATTCTCTTTGTTGAGACAGCTGCAGTGCTGGACAAAGTTCAAAGGGATGGATATGTCTTCATTGGATAGTAGTAAAAATATCTGGGCTATGTAAAAAATCACCACAAATAGTACTTTTTGAAGTGGACACTAGAGGTCACTAAGCTACTGTAACTGTACTAAATATGACATAAAACCAAAATCAAAAGGTTGTGTGAATTTAGATTTCTGCAGTTGTTGAAATTGTCAAAAATAATGTAATATCTTTAATAGTAGACATTTCATCATGAAATAAATGTCTTAAAAACAGGCCCTAAATAAAAGATAACAAGAGATGGTATGACAGAAACAGATGGTATGACAGTTCATTGAGTCACACTAATGAACTAATATGATAATAAATCTTAGATCTTTCTGACTTGAACTGATGTATTTGTTTCATAAATTAAATTTTGTACCATTAAATGAATACATAAAAATATTATTGTGATAAGTCAAATACTACAGAAAAAACATACAGTAAAAATTAACATTGTCCAAATTAACATTAACATTAACAATGTCCAAAATTAACATTGGAATTCTTTGCATTCTTTCCCATTGTTTCTTATATAAGTTTACATATACTTTATTTTACTTGAGACTTCATTTTTATTGTAGTTTTATTATAATTATTTATTTAGAAATGTGACAAGGAGATCACTCAGTGACATGAAGTACAATAGGTCTTTTGTCTTTTACTTTTTCTTTCTTTCTTTCTTTTTTTTTTTTTTTTTGAGGCAGAGTCTCACCATGTTGCCCTGGGTAGAGTGCTATGGCAACACAGCTCACAGCAACCTCAAACTCTTGGGTTAGCTGTCCCTGGCCAGATCTAAACCTGCCAACTTTGGTGTATGTGGCTGGCACTCTAACCACTGTGCTACACGTGGCGATCCAGCCTTTTTTCTTAATGGTGACAGTGATGCACCTCTTAGAGGCATGTGTGGTCATGAACAACAGCCACAGAGCAGGCGAGATCATCCTGCTCATGCATGTGCTCATGTGTGATGATCTCTGCATGGCATATTTCTTCCTGTAGAACATCAGTGTGAAATGATATTGGTACAGATCATGGTTCCCAATGCTGGATCCACTCTGAGTCCAAGTGAGTCCTCAACTATGTGTGAGAAAGAATCCAAGAACAAGTTAACAGTGTGAAGCAGAAGCAAGTTGTACCCAGAGAAAGGGAAAGCTCTTCTTCACAGAAAGAGCAGAGGGTGTTTCCTGGGCAGGAGAGCAGCCCCTCTCATTTCTTTATTTTAGCATCAGCTTAATCACACAGCTGAGCCCAGCTCACTCCAAGTCTGTGAGAGATGAGACTTAAATAATTATTATTCTGTTAATTCTTACTATTCTGTTAAGCTGATTAAGGCAGGGAAATAATTTTCATGTTATTTCATGGAAAGGGGCAGTGATTTTTTAAAACTGGGAATCCTTCTCTTTCCTTACTTTATAAGATGCCTTTTAGAAGTTCCCTGGTGTAGCTGGGAGTTTCTTTTAGCACGCTGACATGTTATAAATAAAGTATATGAGCTGCAAGGCTGTAAGTGCCCACATCTTCCATATTTTGGTTTCAACCTGTCCTACCTTGTTCTGTCACCACATCTGCCTTTGAGCAGGGTGGTAGGGGCTGTGCTGTCTGTGATAACAGTTTGTGCCTGTCCCTGTCTCAGCACACTTACTATTTATTTGCAATGTGATTCCACATTGCCCAAGAAAAATAGTTTTATCCGGTTTTTAGAGGTTGCAATTTTTCTCCAGGATAAAATGTACTGACATGATTTCTATTTTCCTGAACCTCAGTGTCTTTTGTCCTCTTTATGTTATTGTTGATTTTTACTTTACTTGCCTGTCTACATCCTCCCTCAGTTTTTATATTGGACATCTGCCTTTTTGGCCAGGTGTTTTTAGTGGTACTCACTATGCAGTGGAAACCAATATTTTCTTATATGAGTTGTAGAAAAAGATTGATGTAATTAATTCATGTTTAGATGAATGATCAAACAACAACAGCTGTGCCTCTATATAAGTTCTCTTTTCTACAAAAATGTGTCAATTACAAGATGATATGTATAGATTATTTGGTTAGAAACTCTTTCTGTAATTTTCCTAGAATCAATGTTTTTACGTTTTGAGTCGTGCTGAGTCTAGAAAAAATGCGTTGTGAGACGTGAGTGACTGTGGACTTCCTACTACAGAGAGCCAGGCTCTCATCACCCTGCACCACTGTGAACACTGTGCACGTCCCTCACTCACAGGTTAAGGACAATTAGAAACCACTGACATTTGATTTAACTATTTTTCACATAATTATTTTATTCCTTTCATTTTTACTGTCTATTGGTAAACACAGCAATTTTAGGTTCATAAAAATGATGATTATCCTATTTTTAAATAATTGTAAAGGAAGAAAAGTTTCTGTTCCAGCGTTATGGGAGAAATGAAACAAAAGACTTCTGTGAAAAGAATGAGAAATTCGGCTCGGCGCCTATAGCTCAACCGGCTAAGGCGCCAGCCACGTACACCTAAGGTGGCGGGTTCGAATCCCCAGCCCGG